AGGCAGGAAAGAGACATTCCCAAGGGAGCTCCCTGACACATTCTCCGTGGTCTGTGAGACACTGAGTGGTGAGAGACTGTCAGGGAGAGAGAATTCCCCCTCAGAGGAAAATCTAAATGTGGTTGTAGCCACCTGCCACCCCAGAAGAAGGACAGGATAGCAGTGTTAAATTCGTAAGATTGTAAAACAGTGAACTTAACTACTGTACAAGGCCAGCTGAGGTGGATAAAGTGCATTTTAACTGATGGAACTTCACTCCTGAAGTCTAGACGGCGGCTGAGGCTGCCTAGATGACAGATTGGAAACCTCTATCTCTTTTGTTCTAGAAAACTAGCATTTCCATTAAAAGTACCATACCACTAGGGCAGGATTGTGCTGAAATTTCTCATCTGAAGCAAATATTAGGGAAATCACAGTGACCCAGGATTCAGAGACAACTAGGGTGACAAGGTTAACGGGAATACAGGACACACAGGCTTCAGTATAAAAATGTGAATGAACTAAAAAAATCCATTCAATACAAAAGACATAGCTACTGAAGGAGCAAAGGCAGGAGGGGATATAAACTGAAGAAGTTCCTTGATGGGCCCAGAGAAGAGAGCAGAGACTCCATCTGAGCTAGGACAGTGTTTCTCAAAATGGATTTCAAGGGCATATTCTTGTGGGGACATGGGGGTCTTTGGGTTTAATAAGAACATAAAGATAAAACTTGTCTTTTTTTCAGTGAGATTTCTCAATTGAAAATCATGTTCAATGGACAAGATTTTAGCTTTCTTTAGTAAATGTTAGCTTTCTTTAGTAAATGTTCCTCAAATGCTGGTTAACAAAATTTACCATAGGCCTGGGAGGATTATTTTCTTTTTAAAGGGTTCTATAATTTATTCGAATTTCAGAATCAGTGGCCTAAAGGTAGACCACAGACATCCTTTGATCTTTATCTTACTGAAGAAGTTCAAGCCGTTTGCTAACATTGCCCTTAGCTTGCTTATGAAGAGATTAAACCTTTCCCAACTCAGATGGCAGGCTGGGCATGTTACTCATATTCCTAATGGGAGTCATTGCTTAGAACGCTTCATTCTTGTATTTAAAATGGAAACAGCGTGGTGGGGTAGTACTGGGTCATGAGTCAGGCCTACCACTAACTCTGACTGCCTCCATCAGGCTGTGTCTCTTGTCTTCTCAGAGCCTTGTGTCCTGATCCATAAAATGAAGCAGTGGGCTGGATAATTAATTGCCAAGGTCACATCCAGCCTAGATTTATTTGATTCTAACAATAAATTACAGTACCAACTTATATTTCTTCTTTGAAAGGCCTCTCAACTAAAAATAATTTTCACTAGGATTATATTTCATTTATGTTCTTTTCATTGCTACTCTCTGCCATGGAGCTCTGAAGGCCCAGGAGGTGATGCATTTGAAGGAAAAATCAGTCAACACTCAGCATTCCACCTATTATCCACTACCACGAGGAAGTGGGAAATTAAACCATAGAACCCAAACTCCCAGGGCTTAGTGAAAATCACCCAGTAAAAGAAATACTGCCTTAAGGGGACATTTGGGGGACTTTTATAAAGTTTTGAATAAATGAGACAGCTGTTCACTCAAGTGTGAGTAAATCAAATGGAAACATAAAGGCTGGGTCTGTTTTTATGTTTTGAGCATTATAGATGAAATTATTTAATGAGTAGAATCTCAGCCTGTTAGTTGATCTACCACTAAGAGTGACTCATATACTTAGCGAGCCCTCTGAACAAAGGGGCGAGTATGCATGGCAATGATACAAGACCTGTCTGCATCTATAGCAAGAGAAAAGCGTGCTGCACACACGTGTGCACAGAACCACCAGGTGGGATAAGGCTATTCCTTTTCTCTAAGGAGTCCTCTCCCGATCTATGGAAAGATGCACATAAAGCATGTCCCATTGCCTCAGCCTTGACTGGAATGTGATACCTGTGGTCAGAGGAATCCAGGAGAGGTTCGCCTTGAAACCTGACTACTGGTATGTAGCTAAAACAGAGCACAGAACACCAAAATGGTTGTTGTGGATTGTCCTTTTTCCTACATGGCTACTACTGACAGCTTGCACCTGGGGCTATCTGTACAGCTTGGGAAAGAATTGGGCCCTGGGACCCAGAGCAGAACTTAGAAGCTGCTGCCATTGAACTATTTAATAAAACTCACACTGTACAGGATGAGAATGCCATGGCTGCCTTCACTGCATCAAGGGCTCAGCCCTCCAAATGTGGTCCTCGGGCCCGAAGGACTCATTGACCCTCCAGGAGACATGGCATTGCTTGTCCCATCAACAAGAAAAATGCGACTGCCTTCATCACTTCTGTGAAACTAAGGACCTTCTTCACAGTGTGGAATGAAAGCCCTCCAAAGCAAGAGAATGACTTATTTGAAATGATGCCCTTTGAAATCACCTTGTATTTCCCATCCTAGTTACAGTTTGGCTAATTGCTTAATGATTCTGTTTAACTGTCTTCACTTCTGCAAACATCCGTTCATTAGAGTACTTTTTCTGGTTGGAAATCCCTTTGCTTCTCCAACTACCCTCTCCCATTTGCACTCTGGCTGGAGCAACATTCTGATGCCATAAATAGCATCCCTTAAAAAAAAAAAAAAAATGTCGAACAGATCAAGGTGTCTCTGTGTTCCAGAGCCCAAACACCATGATCTATGTCCTTGAAACAGCTCCTGTGATTGGGATCTAAGACACAAGACTGTGTCTTTAAAAAGCCAGCTTTCCTCCAGACAGATGAAGCTGCGACCACCGGCAGCCCTGACCCCCTCCTGCTGTCCTTGACATGGTAAGAGGCTGCCCAAGAAAAAAAAGCCCTCGCCCAGCCTTTAGGATCCTGCAGCCCAACTGGCAGCTGAACCTGAGAATATTGCCCAGATCTAAACTCTGCTCTAAGCAGAGGCCTTCTCAGAGCACAGCAACCAGTGCTTGGGCACCACGGATGCACACACACAAACACACGCCCTGCCTGGTGGGAGGATGCAAGGAGCAGGAAGCTAAGCACCACTGCGGTTTCTGCGGGGATGAGTGCCTATCGAAGGAGGCAGCCGACTCACATTTTCTGGCAAAGGTCGGTTAGGCGAGGCTACTAAACCAACGCTGCCGTTCCTTGTCATTCTTCCTTCTATATTCCAATACTGCTTATATTTTTCATGTGAAATGACGCTTTTAGTACCTGACTTTCCAACTTGAATAAGCAAATTGCTTCATCCAAACGTTCACATCCCAAAGAGGGCCAACACCAGCCCCCATGCCTTTGAGAAACTGAGAAAGGGCATGAGGAGACAGAGGGACAGAGGAGAGGCCTTGAGCTTCTATCCTGGAACTTTCTGGGGCCAGCAATGAGTAAGAAATGCCACAGTCAGGTAACAACCAAGGGAGAGAAGTAAGAAGAGGTCCAGATGGGAAGCAGGAAGCAAGAGGCCATGAAATCAGATTCGAGGGAAGGGTGTCCCTGGTCAGAAGCGAGGACAGCCCATTCATCTGGGTTTTCTGGAAAGCCACGTGTGTTTAAACAAGGCCTGTCTCAGTTGGCCCGTCTACATGTGCAAATGCACTACTACAGGGTGAGGGGCAGATTCACTCTGAGGGAAAGTGAAGAACCACCTGGGCACTGGTACTGGCCAGCCAGGGACATGGAGTGATTAGCAAAGGCAGGCTAAGTCCTGGTCGTCTTTACTTGCAGGTTCTTTTCAGGCTTAGATCCCATTCTTTCAGGCTTCACTGCAGTATCCTGCCACATGAGGTCAAAGCTGATAGAATGGGTTAGGGAAAGAATGGGGGAGAGAAGTCCGTCCTCCTGCATGACTTGGTCAACCACCTGGTCGTCAAGACCCACCCCGTCCTTGCACAGGAACCTTTTAGCTGTTATCTGTATGAGGCCCTGGATGGAAGCCAGTTAGTAAATGAAAGGTGCTGTCAATCCGAAGGGTTGATGATGTGTATACAGCCTTGACCTGTCCAACGTGAACCAGGCCTTGGGGTTTCATTGATCTGTGTTTATGCTATCGATTTCATTTCATTTTATTTTAAATTTCTGGAATTGAGTTTTTTCACACAAAAATATTTTTGATCCACAATTGGTTTAATCTACAGATGCAAAACGGAGGATATGGAGAGAAACTGTATTCATTTTTCTTAAAAAGCTACTTCAGCCCAGCTCAGTTGGTTGAAATGCCATCTTAATATGCCACAGTTGCAGGTTTGATCCCTGGTCAGGGCACGTACAGGAGGCAACAAGTCAGTGTTTCTCTCTTTCATTAGTCTCTCTCTTTCTCTCTCTCTCTCTCTCTCTCTCTCTCTCTCTCTCTCTCCCTCTCTCCCTCCCTCCCTCTCTCTTTCTCTCTCATCAATAAACATACCCTCAGGTGAAGATTTCTTTTAAAGCTACTTCGAATTGCTTTGGTATTTGAAATGATGCCCTCAAGAGTTATAACAACACATGAAAATATTGCTCACCCCATGTAGTTTTAACTTTGTTCTTTCCTCCTGAACCTTTTGATTTCTTCTATTATTTTTTTTTATTGAGCATCTATGATTCTTTCCGAGCCTTGACTTTCTGTAGAAAACTTTTTATCGTCTATTGTGGGCGGTATTGCCTGAGGAAGCCAGAGATAAAACAACAATGATAATAGATAATGGAATAGACTATTCCAAGTAGTTCACGCTGTATTAATTCATTCCACCCTCGTTGCAACCTGATGAGTTGAGTAATACTATCAGACCCATTTAACAGATGAGGAAACTGAAGCACAGAAAGATACTTGCCTAGAGTCACACAGCTGGCAAGTGGCAGAGCCAAGATGTGACACCATAGTCTGACTCTCAGAACTGTGCTTTTTCTTCATCACTGTGAATTATCTCGCTATGAATGGCATGGCCAGGAATGATATTATTTTTAACTTTTAAGAGTAAAGTGCGAGCTCTTAATGTATTTTACCTTTAACTGTTCTGTTTTTCCCTCCCAAACTCTCAGATGATGGAAATGCTTAAAGCAAACTAAGGTAGTGTGAGACCACACCATGTAAGTGTGAGCATGGCTCCTGCGGGCCCACCTGTGTTCTGTGCGCTTCTGCCTACATTCCCGCATGTCCTCTCCGTGTGCTCGGATTCCTGCTTCCGCCGCTTGGTGCTTGGGCCGCATGAACCGTCGCTGTTAAGCCTAGATCTGATATCTTTGTCCCTGAGTTTATATTTGTGCTTCTCTCCCTACAATCCCCGGCACATGGGCAGGAGCCAGAGCACCTGCAGCTGTCAGCCTGGCACCTCCCCAGGAAGGAGCTGGGGCTCCTGGGAATGCGTTTGGGTATTGTTCTCTGACAATGAGCCCTCAGATTGTCAGCTTTTAGGATTCTAATCACGTGTCTGTGTTCTCACTGCAACACCGTGCGGAAGCCTGGGGAGGCCTCTGTCCAGGCCATGGTCAGCCATAGTGAGCCTCGGCCATGCGGTGCTCTTCTGGGCCACCTGCCTCCACAGGTTACTGCTCTGTGAGTCTCGGTAGGAGCGGATGCCATGTGAAAACAGGTACCATGGTGCCAAGAAACAGGGCTTACATTTATTATTTTCTCTGTAAGTATACATATGGTGAACACACATATATTGAACAAACCTGAGATTATGAAGGATGATTAAATCAGATATGGGCCCTATTGGCCCTTCCCTGTACACACAGACGCACACAGCCACAGTCTGTTTTGGTGTTCCTTGACTCTATATGAACTCTGTTTCTACTTTGAGTGAATCAATATGTGAAAAACTAGATTTATAGGTAAATAACTTGGGGAGGAGGAATTTGTGCCTGACCAAGAGTAAACCTGGACCCTTTAAAATAAGATCCTACCTTACTGTGCCTCCCCCACCTGACTATGATTTCAGGATGGTAACTGCCTCTTATTTTCAATCTTAAAGTTTCAAGTGTGTGTTGAATGGGAATTTATTGGGAGGAAACTTTGCAAATTGTCAGAGATGATAAGAACTTAAAATTGAAGGGGCTCTTACAAGATGTGACAGAATTCTGGGGCTGAAGAAATGGTTCCTTCACTCCAAACCCATTGGTTCATACAAAATCACTGTGGTCTCAAGAGAGAAATTAACCCGTCCAAAATGGGGCAGAAACTGGATTAAAACTCAGTCCTTCTCTTTCCATCATAGCATCTTATCAGTGTATTGACCCAGCTCCTTTCTCTCTGGTTAAAAACCCACATACACAGCCAGGAGAGTTTTTTTATTTAAGTTAAGGAGCCTACATCCCAAGAAAGGACGCGGGTCCCAGTCCTGGCTCTGTCATGAAATATCTGGGTGATCTTGGGAAAGTTACTGTGCCTCTCTGGACCCCAGGCTCTTCGTGTGTGATATGTATTTGAGAACAGCTGATTTCAAAAAGTACATGAAAAAAGTTTGTTTCTAACCTCGGTCTGTTTTTCACACCATTTCCTCCCAGCAGCATTCATTCCACATTATAGGATTATGAAAAAAGTTATAGTCGGGCTGTGCAAATGGGGATAACTCTAAACAACAAATCAAATAGAAAGAGGACTTTCTCCCAGGCTGGTGTTTCTCAGTGGTTGAGCATCAACCTACGAACCAGGAGGTCTTGGTTCGATCCTGGTCAGGACTCATGCCTGGGTTGCAGGCTAGATCCCCAGTAGAGGTCGTGCAGGAGGCAGCCAATCAGTGATTCTCTCTCATCATTGGTGTTTCTATTTTCCCCTCTACCTCCCTCTCTGAAATCACTAATAATAATAATAATTTTTTTTTTTTAAGAGTGGGGGGGACTTTTCCAGCTTCTTCCAGGTCCTTCCTGTCCCTTTCCTAAGATAATCATTGTCCTGCTGAGACCTCTAGTGGCCATATTGAAAACTGCAGGCGTCTGAGGACAGGGGAGGAACCAAAGATACTGTGGGCAGCCCCGGAAACCACACAGCCAAGCACGCCACAGTGGTCTGTGGAGGCCACAGCCTGAAATACTTTCTAGATAGAAGAAAGGAAGCATCTATGTCCTGAGACCCCTGAAATATCCCCAGAGGATTGGTGGCCTGAGTATGTGAATATAGTGCCCCACCTCCACCCCCCAAAAAGTGCCTGGCTTATTAAACATTATCTCTGCTGGGTTATCCATGGTTATTCATGGTAATGAGAACTCTGCATTCTTTTGTGCTTTCATTTATTCCTGCTTAGTTCAGGGATCTACTGGAAGTTCTAGGTTTAGCCAATCCTTCTTGTCTGGGTTATAGAACAGACTTATAACCCCATTTTTATCTGAAACCAAGCTGACTCCTGGGAGTCCAAAGCTCCAGCCACCAGAAGCACACCTGGTTACTTGGCACATGCATACCATTTGCTCCCTTAGGGCCCTGCCTAGGGGCCTGACTCTGGGGCCAGTGGCCTGCACTGCTTTTCCAGACATTTGCCTCCCGGTGAGGGAGGAGATAAGCCCTCCGACACCACTGCCTCCCACACTCTGGCCCTCAGTAAACAGCTTACACCTGACAAACACACGGCTGAATTGTTGTCATTGCTTTAACCCAGTGGTTCTCAAAGTGTGGTCCCCAGACCAGCAGCATGATCATCGCCCAGGAACCTATTAGAAATGCAGGTCCTTAGGCCCCGCCACAGACCCACTGAATCAGAAGCTCTCAAAGTGGGGCTCAGCCGTCTGTGTTCTACAAACCCTCCCGGTGCTTCCAAGGCTCAGTCAAGTTTGAGAACCACCGCTCCAGGCGTGGGCTCACAACTGTCAGTATACACAGGGCACGAACTCTCAGCTTCTTTAAAATGTAGGTACCGACCCCTCGCCCACAGAGGTTTAGTAGTTCTGCAGTGGGGATGCAGAAATCTGATTTTTAACCCGTTGTCCCATGTTATTCTGATGTGGGAGGCCCACCCATCACCACTTTGAGAAATCTTGCTCTAGAAAGAGCGGGGCCATCTTTGCAAGCACAGTTGAGTTTCCTCTCTCGAATTAGATATAAAGATTGTCCTCATATCTCTGCAGTCATGAAAGAGGTTTCAGGACGTGTATCAGAACACTCTGGGTCTTTAGAGGGAGTCATACTGTACCCTTGACAAATCGGTGTTTGCAGCCACAGTGAGGAAAATCTCAGTGGAGTCTATCATAATCCAAACGTGAAATCCTCCCCCAGAAAGAGATAATTACTGAGAGGACAGAAAGCGCAGGGAACCTGGGGCTTCTTGTGAGGCTGGCGTCTGGGGTGCTGAGCTAGGCCCGGGCACACAGCCGTGTGTCCTCTCCAGGCTGCAAGTCCATCAGATGGCGAGCTGCTCTTTCTTCTCCTTCTCAAACAGAGATTCAGTGGAGCCTTCCCACCGGGACCCAAGAAGCTAGTTCATTATAATACCCCTAGGAGGGAAGGGTTTTCAAGGCTTGAGGTTATGAATACACTTGGCTCATATGGCCTCTGCTTTCACCCTGAAAAAAATAGAGTTCATTTTTGTGAATGCAAAGACCTAACTCTCCTCAGTGCAACTCTGGGTCCTACTGGGAGCTCCGGAAGGGATTTTCCATTGCTCTTCTGGCCCATTTAACTTCCCCATCTACTCACCCCACCCCTACAGTTCTCTTCAGAGCACCCACGCCTCCGTGGGGCTCATTGGGGTGTGCTCTGAGAAAGCTAAAATGCTGAGTCACGTTTTCAAAGATCTGACAGGAGCAGAGCAAGAGACTCGGGCCTGACACCTCTTATTGCCACCTGGGCTTCCCAAGTCATTGTTCAGGCACCAGCTTGTGCAGACACTGTCTGCTGGGGACAACAGCTTTATCAGGTGAAGCCTCTATTCTTTCAAACCATGTGGATAGAGCAAGCAAAATGCTGGGAGTCCCTCCCTTCCCTCTCCCTTGTTTACCCCTTTGCCTTCCATCTTCTTCCCCTTAACCATTTTCCCATGCTTTCTTTCTCACCTTCCCTAAGCTTCTGTGATTTTTCTCCAGCTTTCCTCCCTCCCTCTCCTTTCTTCCTTTTGGGCCTCACACAGTCCTGAAAAGCAGGCACCCAGCACCCCCACCCAGGAGCTCAAAGAGACTCACAAGCATTCACGGCTGCAGCCACATGCATCCTACCAGGCAGGGAATACCTTAATTTATCCTTGAAGTGCAATTAAAAGACAGAGCTCCCATCTCCTCTCAGTCAGACAGAAGGCAACGAGAAAGGGAAGGACATCAGAGGAAGATCCCCATTGCTTAAAGTCCGGAGTGGGCACGGAAGAGAGGAGGGGCAGAAGTGAGGCCAATCCTGAAAGGAGAACAAGTGCCCCTCACATCAAAATGTCAAAACCCTGTTTAGGAGCCAAGGATAGGCAGGGCCGGTCTTGCTCACCGGAAGCACGGGCTCTCCTCTGCCCTCCCCTACTTGTTCTTGGCTCCTGCCCCAAGGCCCATGTAGCCCCACAGGGGATCTCAGCTCAGCAGAGCCCCTGTGGTTGGAGCTTAATGTTCTGCAGCCCCAGACTAGACACTGTCTTATGCATGACATCTGATGGGACAGTGGAGCCTTGGAGCATGCAGTGTGTTGGGGAGGCTTGGAGACAGCACAGGATGTCCTGCTTCCTGCTGCCTCCACTTCCATCCTCCCTCTCCCAACGCCCATCCCATGTCCCCAGCTCCCCCGGGGCGTGGAGGGTGGGTTCTCAGCTCACTCTCCCCTCCTTGTGCCCATCCAGTGACCACTGCCCTCAAGGGCCTGGGTATAGGTGGGGAAGGTCACAGTTGGCTGCACCTATCCTGCTGCCTCTTGGGACACAGCATAGCAGTTGCCATCCCACCCAGGACTGGCCTTGTGCCTGGTGGACATCAGTCAGGAAGCTTCGATGAGGGACAAACTGACTGCTCATTCCCGGTCCAGATACAGACGTTGCAGTAACCAGGGGGGAGTGTCATCTGTCCTCCTTGGGTTTGGGGAAACCACATGGGAAAGAAGATTCCTCAGGGCCTATCCCAAGCCAGGGAACAACATGTCAATCCGGGGACTGGGGGTGAGGAGATCCCAGCAGCCAGCAGGCCTGAGT